TGTCCGGTATCATTTGTACAATCGGTCCCGCATCCAGATCTGTGGAAACCTTGGAGAAAATGATAGAGACAGGGATGAATATTGCCCGAATGAACTTCTCTCACGGATCCCACGAATATCATGCCGAGACTATCGCCAATGTTCGCCAGGCGCAAAAGAATCTCACTACCCGCGCCAATATTAACATTCCTGTCGCTATCGCTCTCGACACGAAGGGTCCTGAAATCCGTACTGGGCTTCTAGAAGGCGTATGTTAATGAGACGTTAATACATTCAAAATACAAAAATTTCAATTTGACGCGATGGGTAATATTTGAAAATTTCACATCCATTTTAACAGGGTGGTTCGGCTGAAGTTGAATTGGTTAAAGGCCAGAGTTTTAAACTGTCCACCGACAAAACGTATATGGAGAAAGGGAATGCTCAGGTTGTTTATGTCGACTACGAAAATATCTCGAAGGTGTTAAAGGCGGGGAATCGTGTATTCGTGGATGATGGCCTGATTTCCCTCATTGTTTCTGCTGTCAGTGAGTATCATTCATGTGTATCTCTTCAATTTTTTGTGTACATGCTTGCATGAAATAAATTGCTATTAAAATTATTTTCTATTTTTGAATATGACATATTTTTCAGTTTAGAACATAAAAAATTTCTAGTTACTTAAAAAATATATAAAATTCGAGTATTACATATTTGTCAATGTATAAAATATAATATTAATGATTGTAACTTAAAATTATAATTTTAATCTGCTATTCTGTATCTCAATAATAACAAATATTAATATAAGTGTGGAAAATATCATTGTTAAGAATATTATCAAATTTATCTTATTTTTTAGGTCCCAATTTAATCTCGACAACCGTTGAAAATGGTGGTATGTTGGGCTCTCGCAAAGGTGTGAATTTGCCGGGAGTACCAGTGGATCTTCCAGCAGTGTCAGAAAAAGATAAATCCGATCTTCAGTTTGGCGTTGAACAAGAAGTTGACATGATATTTGCTTCCTTCATTAGAAATGCTGCTGCATTAACTGAGATCCGCGACATTCTCGGTGAGAAGGGTAAAAACATCAAAATCATATCGAAGATCGAGAATCAACAGGGTATGACGAATCTCGACGAGATTATTGACGCGTCCGACGGCATCATGGTAGCGCGCGGTGACTTGGGAATAGAAATACCACCGCAGAAGGTATTCCTTGCACAGAAGTCTATGATTAGCAGGTGCAACAAAGTTGGCAAGCCAGTGATTTGCGCCACGCAAATGCTCGAGTCCATGGTGAAAAAACCACGTGCTACAAGAGCCGAAACTTCAGACGTTGCTAATGCCATTCTCGATGGTGCTGACTGCGTTATGTTGTCAGGTAATTTATTTCAACATATTGATATTAGAAAAGATCAGGATAGAACAAAATAATATCCTAAATAGCAGAACTAAAGAATGTAATAAACCAGTATACTTGAAGACACACGAAAAAAAAGAAAAGGAAAAGGGGAAAAAAGAAAAGAGAGATACATAATAAGACAAGAATGTACATGACTAAAAAGCTTTACATTAAGTGCATATTAAGTCCATATTAAATTTAAATAGTGTAGAGATGCATTCATGGAACTGAAATTTTTTTACCAGATAAATTAATGTTTATTTTTCTCTCTCTCTCTCTCTCCCTCTCTCGTACATGAATTAAGTATTGACTATTATTAGATGGGCAATTGTAAGTAATTATATTTGTCTGATTGTAATTTTAGGTGAAACGGCAAAAGGAGACTATCCTTTAGAGTGTGTTCGTACAATGGCCAATATTTGTAAGGAAGCGGAAGCTGCGATCTGGCAAACTCAAATCTTTCATGATCTATCCAGCAAAGCTGTGCCGCCTATTGATGCTACACATGCCGTTGCCATTGCAGCCGTAGACGCATCTGTTAAATGTTTGGCTAGTGCTATCATTGTTATTACAACATCTGGTAGATCCGCACATCTAATTGCGAAATATAGGCCTCGTTGTCCCATTATTGCGGTTACCAGATTTCATCAAGTTGCTCGACAAGCGCATTTGTATCGCGGTATATTACCACTGTATTATTCAGGTAAATTTATATATCATAATGTTTTTATTTATAAATAACGGAATATATATATAAAAACTTGGAGAGTAATCGTGTTTAACTCGTAATATATATATTTTTTCTAACAAATATAAACAAGATTTGATTTTCTAAAAATAGATTGTATTTTAAAATATATGATGTACGTGTGTGCGTGTAATACTCAACACTAATCTTTATTACAGAATCACCATTGGTTGATTGGGTGAAGGATGTGGATGTACGCGTACAATACGGATTAAGCTTTGGCAAGAGTCGTGGTTTTGTCAAAACTGGTGATTCTGTTATAGTTGTGACAGGATGGCGGCAGGGTTCGGGCTTCACGAATACACTTCGTGTTGTGTATGTAGAACGTGAATTTATTAGAGAAGATCCTGCATGCACGATTTATAGCGACAGCGATGACTACGACGATCTCTTTTAAGTGTTGCATGATACCCTATCTTATCTGTATTCCTTAATTTGTTTTAATAATTCTATAAAATATTCACTAAATATTACCATCAATTTGCACATTTATGACAATTAAAGTAAATAATTTAAAGTACATTACTGTAATTACACGCAATATATTTTTATACTGTAACAAAAATATATTCTACATGTAGTAGAGATGGATATATTAATTAATACATGTATTTCTTATTTAAATACATGTTATTGTCGTAAGAACCGAAGTAATTTTAATATTGTTTGTGTTTCAGCATATTTTTCTTAAGATATAATTTGTGAAATCAATTAAAGTATAGTTATTCACTCACTGTCCATATTGTAGTTGCTTTTTTGGTAGTAACACATCTAATTATTTATATTAATTAATGTTTTCTCTTTTTCAGATCTGTTGATTAAACTCCTATTGTATGGGAAAGTTATAGGAAGCATAGTCTTCGTGGGCATAGATATAATACAAAGAAAATACAGAGATTACAGAGTGATACTTGAACATGTACGTAAATGTATATGATTCTTTTATGAGTTCCATTAAATACAGTCATATGACACTAATCTTAATAGTAAACCCAGTATTATTTTATCGTTGAAATACATAGAATATAATACATAAAAAAAGGAAAAGTATGACACGTGCAAATGCGCACTTACACACGTGCGAGCATACGTTGTGTCTCGTTTAAGCATTTCAAATATTCCAAAAACAAGATATTCGTTTAAACATGTATTAGATAAAAGTTTTTCGAAAAAGATGAGGTTGTACACGTGTTGAACTTTCAGAATTCATTTCGCTCGGAGCTATTTAATTATTTACTAGATTTCTACTTGTGCTTTCTAAGGAAAATGAAATAATTCTGATTGACTAAAAATTTCGACTTTTATTCACTTTTATAAAATCATCTTTCTTTTTCTTCCCTTTAGACTACCAAATTTTGATGCATTTTTAAAGAATCTTGTTTTTGAGATATTTGAATTTCAAATGGGACATGCGCGCGTACACACATACACACACATATATATATAATACTATTACATATATCAAATTTCAATAATTTAATATGTATAATGAGTAGACAAATAATTCTATGATTATTAACAATATAAATGGTCGAGTATTGAATCCTCGTGATTCTATATAGAAATAAAGATCTGTATTTTGCATTACTGTATGTTTAATTACCAATTCATAATTTATAATATAAAGAAATTGTCAATTTTTATATTAGGTTGGTAGGACAATAATGTCGGATTTTAACTTTCAACTTTAAACGCATATATCTTAGCTCAGAGTAAAGTGTATTAATCGAAATAAGAACGACGAGAAACAAGTTTATTTATTCCGGTAACGTAGAATTTCAACGTCCTGAAATCGATGAACTATCGAAAGGCATTTTCAACAGCACTGTAGTAGTTGTTGAAGACCTGCTCTTGCAGGTCGAGGTGCTTAAAAAAGTAGTAGTCGGTTGGCGAGAGGTCTGGTGAGTATGGTGGGTGAGCCAGAGTTTTGTAGTCCAATTTATTCAGTTTCTGCCGCGTCGTTTGTGCGACGTGTGGCCGTATGGTAGCCATTTTCCCTCCTTTTGGATCTTTCCCATCGCACGTAAACGTCTGGAAACAGTTGATTCATCAACTGCTAAGCTGTCTGAAAGTTCTTTGAGAGTTTGAGCTGGGTTTTCGTCCAATAAGTCTTGCAATTCATTGTCTTCAAACTTTTTTGGTCCTCCAGACCGTTCTTTGTCATTGACATCAAAATCACCACTTTTAAATCGTTGAAACCAAAACCGACAATTGGGATATGACGGAGCAGCATCACCATAAGTTTCTAAAAGTGTTTGATGGGCTTCGGCAGCAGATTTCTTCAAATCAAACAACAAAAGTAATGAATGTCGAAAATGCAATTTTGAGCGTTCCATGATTAGCGTCTGTATACACTGAATAACTCAGTAATACTAAATGTTATTTTATGTAGAGAAATGTCAAAACCATCGAATTTAACAGTTAGGTTAGGTTGCTTACATTGATACTTCGTATTTTCACCAATAGATATCGCTGATCAAAATACATGCAAGCATCTAATATACATATATAGTAAAATGAATATATTAAAAGAAATATTTACTCCAGAAACAAGTAGCAAAGTCAAATATGTAAGACCGGCATTATTTTTCTACCAACGTATATATTACCTAATTTCCTTGCTTCTGAATCATTATTTGAAAATAATCAAATTTTACATTATTTGAAGTTTTAGAAAACTGGTACAGATTGAAGGGAAAAATGGTAGTATAGCAATTATATTATATTATTATTATCAAGCTATATTGAGCATGCGCACAATTGTAGCCAATAGAAAATAGTGTACCTTACCCCTCCCCTCATTCTGGCTTCACCTTTCTTCCTCGCCAATTTCGCCAGTTTATACTTGGTCTGTGTATTCCTATGTCTATGGTCTACTCTGATTCTTGTGTGAAATATACTGCGAACATAACCTAGTATTTGGCATACACGTTGGTTGAATCGTAGTAATCCTACAAGATGCAACACGACGACGTGAGTTAACCTCAAAATGCAATTACTTTTTTCTACTATTTCTGATTATCATCGTAATCCTATACGTAATAATATTCCAGGTTGTGTGGAGCGTTATCAATAAATCGTTCTGTTCCTTTAAAGTCAAGTAAGTGCGACCTTAAGAAGTGGAGAAACGTGCAAAAGAATTGCGAACAGCTTTAGTCTCATTGCTATAATCGTAACATTTCTTCTGCAGTACAAAGACGCAGCGGTTTTGCAGAAATGAGTTCAATCTTACTGGCTTATGCAGTAGGGCTGCGTGTCCCCTTGCAAACAGTCAATATGCCACGATTCGAGAGGAAAACGGTATCATTTATCTCTACATGAGAACAGCAGAGAGGTACGTTACATGATTTACAGCCACAGGCTCTAGTTGTCATCTCAAGACGATGTTCATTAAATTCGCCTATTATAAATGCGCGTTTGAAAATGGTTACTTTCATATGTTATTCTTTGCGAACTTTTTTTCTTATACACGTTTAAGACTTAAGATAGTCACTGTGCGTTACTTGGAGCGAAGACTTAAGCCTAGATCCATAATATGCTCTTTACATCTAGAAACATTCTATGTTGTAGCCAATAGTACACTTAAAAAATTTGTGCGAGTTGACGAATTGTAATATCAATAAATTTTCTAAGTCTATTGATATGCTTATACAAAATAGAATTGTTTTATAAATAGCTTTTAATCACAAAGAACACATTGTAGATTTTAGAGCAGAAAACGTTTTAAAAGTACAAGACAGCCATTCTGTTAATCTTACTAATGTAGCATGGTATTATTCTTTATAGCATTATTAGAATTGTACATTTTTTAGAACTGCAAAGAAACTGGAATTAGTTTCAACCGACATATAATTGTAACATCTACGGAATAAGTTTTTATCTTCCTATATGTATGCATATGTACAATATATGTATTGACTTGTTTGAAATTGAAATGTTAATTAACTTTCTTGTAGGATACATACGCCTAAAAATAGCTGGGAGAAAGTCAAACTGTCTAGGAATTTTGAAAAGGCGATACATCAAATAAATGAAAATCTACTTTACTGGCCTGGTTTTATAAAGGCAAAATGTAAACAGAGATTTCTCAAGATCACGCAGTATCTCATTCGTATGAGAAAGTTCAGGTTAAGACGCCAGAAGAAAATTGTACCGCTTCAGAGGAAAATCGAGAGAAGAGAAAGACGCAGGGAAGAAAAAGCTCTGGTTGCCGCAAAATTGGACAATGCAATTGAAAAGCAGCTTATGGATAGGCTGAAGAAGGGGATGGTAGCGTTGAATTTTATATATGTTATACTATAATGATTAATTGTGTTTTCCGAAATATTTGTTTTCTTGATATTTCAGTTCGAGGGTATTTACAATTTCCCGCAACGAGTGTTTGATAAGGCTGTGGAGGCTGTTGAAGTTGAAGGAGAAAGCGAACGGGAAGAAGAGCAGGAACTCGAGAAGGAGGTGGAGATGGAGTTAGAAGCAGACGAGAGGGAAATTGAGCAAGACGGTCCGGAATATGTTGAAGCTGATAGCAACGATGATTTTGAGGACGATGAGGATGACATCGAGGAACTTTCTATGGTAAAACTATTGTTCATTAAAGTGCAACTTTTTTATATTAATAATATTTCTTTACAAATAAGCTTTACAATAAGCTTTGTCAATACTCTGCAGGATGAAGATAGCGACTCTGGACAGAAGGAAGACGTCGAATTATCAGACAGTTTTGAATCCGAAGCTAGTGATATCGAGGTAAGAATTCTCCGGCTCAAGGCCTGTTACATTATAAGTCGTGATATAAACTGCTCGCCTTTTCACTAGGATTTAGTCGAGCCATCGTCGAGCAAGAGGACAAAGGGGCCGAAAGTCGTCAGAAAAAGCAAGACGCAGAAGAAACCGCGAGCGAGAGTGGAAATTGAATACGAAGTGGAAGACGAAAGTCAACAGAATAAACGGACACGTGTATAATAAAATTCTAATATACACATATATAAATATAATTCTTTGTAATAAAATTACAAAATGCTTTATACGTTGTTATCCAATGTTTCAATTACAATCGTTTTTAGTATGCGTTTTGTTTTTAATATGTTTCTCAAGGCGTGTAAGATCGTGAAACTTTAAGCTCTTTACTGACGGATACTGTCCTGGTACAATCCTTTCGCAAATGTAAAGAATTACTTAACGCCAGTAATTGATTAAACAATGTAGGAAAATTGCATGACCAGTGGCTGGCAAATTCTAATGAAAGAAATTCATTGCGAAAGATATCCCAGCCAGAGTGAGGTGATATTTTTCTACGTCTTTCGCAAATGTTCACAAACTTGTAAGACTGCGGATACAAAGAACATCTACAAATTTTAATAAAAATACGCACGATACATATGTATGGCATCAACATTAGCACCGTCAATGATTAACAAATATCTATTTCTACTATTCAACGCGCCACTAAATCAATGGTAAGCACGTATATATACATTTAAAAAAGGATAACTGTAGAAATTAATTGTTAATACTTTGCGAAAAAAAGTCGTGGGGAATTTCTGAAAATGCGCCATTATGAATTTAATAGAAGCCCACAATCTACCTCGTCGTATTGACTGTTTTGGTAGTTGCAGTGTTAAAAATCTATCCGTTCCAATAACGTTTGCCGAGTAAAACCGTTTCGGAGACGCAATGCCAATTTCAAAGGTTTCGCCCGCAGCGCGGGCTCGTGGCGCGAAGCGCGGGAGAGGCGCGAAGGGAGGAACACACACACACATACACACGCGCGTCTCATCGGTAGAGGGGAATCCGGGGAATCGGAGCAGACGACATTGACGATACGGCAATACGAGTTAATCGTGACGAACGAGAGGGGTGAGGCGAGTCGCCGAGGACCTCCTTCGAGAACAAGGGGAGAGGACACCTCCTCGGCGAGTGTCCGCCCGTCGCGCCGGTCGTCTCCGCGGGCGCGGACGCGCGAGCATCTCCGTATCTCGGCGCGGGGCGGGTGTCAGTGCACCTCGCAGTCCGCAGTGCCACGGCATTGCGCATTCGTCGGGGATCGTCACGCACGTTGACATTTGACTCTCCGCTATCGCTCTCGCCGATATCGGGACCCCTGCCCCCCCCCCTCCCCCTCCCCCGCCGCCGCCGCCGCCGCGATACGCGGGGTATTCGGTGAGCAGGTGCTCGCGGGCGAGACGAGAACCGGGGCCCACGAGTATGGTGAACCAAGCGCGGCTTCGCTCCTCCGCCCCCCGTCCGTAGAGCGAGTAGGTTATTCGCTTGAATCAAACGGCGATCGCGCACCAGGTGAGACGCGAGACGAGCGGCGCGGCGTCGACGTCGGATCCCGATGAATCCCCGCGAGGGGAGGAATTCGGGGGCGCCGGTTAGGCTCGCGCGACGCGGATCCCACGCTCCATTCGGGCAATTGGGCGCCAACTCGACGTGCCGGACTAGGCGGCGGCACACAGAGCTATCAACGCGCTCGTTGCGCGGATTGATCCCCCTCGAGGGAGGTTTCGCAACGTCCCGCGCTCGCAATTGGAGCCCCCGTTCCCGTACTTGTTTCGCTCGACACGGCCGCCGGCTGGCCCGGCAGCGAGCATCTGCGGGCACCTCGCCATCGCGATAATCCGTCATCTTTGTCTGTCCCAGGGATGTCGTGGCACGCGGAGTGACGCTGAGCATCGCCCAACGAGCCCGCAACATGAATCTGTACCGCACAATTATCTGACTGGGATCTACTGAACCGAGTTGTCGTGTCCGCCGGCTGCGCGCACAAATGCCAGGATGTTAAGCGGTGCTGCCAATATGGAACTGAATAATGTTGGGAGCAACAAGAGTTCCGTATACCTCGCGCTGTCGTTCCGAAAGCTGTGCCTGGCGACAGTCGGCTTGCCACTTGTATCGCTGCTGTTCTGCTTCATCACGGCGTACATATTTCAGCAGGACGACATTCACGAGACTCATTGTAGAGTAAGTCCTCGTTACTAGTCCGTTGCGACAAGCGAGAATTGCATTTGTAAATCGTGTCCGTTTGTCGACAGGTCTACAACATTCTTCCGTCGATCTCAGCCATTACCGGTGTATCTCCACAGAGGTATCTATGGCGTATCAGCATAGCGTTACATATTGGTCCTAGACTGGTTATCGCCAGTGTTTATCACTCGTACTATTACAAGATACTTAAGAACATTGAAGATGTGCCTCTAAAAATTAAGGGGAGTAGGCTCCTAAATCTCTGCTACTGGCTAAACATTGCCGAGGTAGCGGCTCTGTGTGGTGTAACATATATTTCTAACAGAGAGAATTACTGTAAGTAACTGACAATTTCCCGGCGCCTGCCACTAACGTGCGATGGGATATTTAGTTAATGACGTAAAAAAAAATGTTTCAGCGGTGCATGAAAAAATTTTCATAGTGTTCATGATTAGCTCGCTCATGTACATGCTGACCGCTGTGAGACTGGGTCGTCTAATAACTCCAAATGCACAAAGTCTTCAGTACAAACAAGCGCTCTTTATGATGAGTCTCGTCAGTACGATCGGTCTTATTGTTTTCTTTTTGAAACATCGACTGCTGTGTCACGACTTGGGTAAGAAACACGATTACAAGCATTTTTATATTCGTTGCAGCTTAAAAGTACTTAAAGAAAATAATAATAATATTTGTTACTATTTTGAGCAGCATTTAGTTGGTTTTCGCTATGTGAGTACGTGATAGCTTTTGCAAATATGGGCTTTCACATCATGGTGGTTTTGGACTTTCCAAAAGAGCAACTGGTCGTAGGCCACGGTTTACCGGCCGTGAAAATAGATTAACCTTTTAGGATAACTCGTCATTCTCATCGTCATATTAAAGTGCCTATTGCCTCTGCATGGAAGTGCTACAAACCGTGGTTTTTAAGAGATGAAAGTTTTGGACGCCACATGATGCACAATTTCACGATTGTCTCAGTTTTATGATATTTACGATTGTGTTTCACTCTTGTGAATAATATCATTTGCTTCCCGCGATATTTAAGAGACACCGACACCATTTTTATCTTTACTTTTATATCGACTAATATGATATTTGACCAATAATTCCGAATGTAAAAGGATACGTGATTCGAGAAAAATGAAGATGGAATATCTAGCGCTTCCAAAGTGTGGCACTGGTTACTTTCAAAGCGATGAAATATGTAACGGCCTTTAAATATCGTTTAGTAATAGAGTATGATCGTAGTAAGTGATAGTTGGACAACAGTATCCTACATACAAACAGCATTTATCGTTAAGCGTAAATTGAATATTATTACTCGCATCCTATGAGATTACTTGTAAAGACTTTTGAGCCTTCTTTTATAGAGATTTTTGCAAGGTGAGAATTCTAGTCGAATACTTTACTTCTAGTCGCGATTTTTTATTCGCTTTATGGTACTCCTATTTTATCTCATAAGTTGAAATTAGACTATAAGATACATTTATGTCAAATGGACTTTGAGATATTATAATCGTTAGTTCATTAAATGAACGTATACCATTTTGGATTATTGCAAAGACATTGTTGCGTCTTGTTGACAAATCTTACAATGAAAATCGTATATGTATATGTTAATACTCATTCACCTTGTAAGAGATTAATTCGTCTTGTATAGACTTTGAGATAACAAATTCAGCTAATATTCATGAGCCGCTCTATTCGGCATTATTGTAACTACAAACGTAGGGTAATCGCTCCTATGGTTTGTATGTAGTATACGATAGTTTCTTAATAGCAATTATCGAGACACTGACGATTATATAAAGCAGTCGTAATCGTGTTACACAAGAAAAACGTGTAAACGAGGATTGCATTCGGACCAGCGTGCGTTCAAGGTAAGATCGATATCTAAATATCTCATGCGAATTTATAAGACAAGTGTTAAAAGGGTTTCTATCAAGTTTCATGACTGATATTAATCTCTTGTTTGGCACACAGATGACATGTACACGATTTCTCGAGAACGCTGTATGGAGTTTTTATTTCTACTTATTATTACAATACACATTTTAAAAAACATACAAAATTTAGGCAAAATATGGGTTCGAGAGTACAATATGATTGTTGATACATGAATATTGTTTACAAAAGTAATTAATATTTAATTCGGAATATATGTATAATGATACATTTCAGCTCTGCTTGGAACCATCTTCGGTTGTGATAAGAATATATTACAATTATTTTTTAGTTGATTGACGATCTACTCTTTAAGATTGAGTAGTTAGGTAGCCAATAATTTCAAATTCATTAATATTAATTGTCTCCAGTTAAAATTTAAATTTGAGGCTATTAAAAAAGACATGCTATTGGACGTTAAAAACGCCCGAACTTGGTTAAGTTTTAGAAAAAGACACAATATTGTAATTTCCTCGAGCGAGAATCTCTATAACAAGTCTTCAAATTCAGAAAAGAAAAACGAAGGCCAAGTTATGCCAGAAGAATCTATAGAAGTTGAGAATTTGCCTTCAACCTCAGCTTCATTTTCGATTGCTTCTACACATCACAAGATTTCGGAAGAATCTATAAATGTTGAGTTAAAGATTGGCGTGTAATTTGACTGAATGATCATGGTAACCATGTCAAGAAAACGTGATAGTTGAAATTAAAACTGTGATAGAAAAATTAATTCATTGGTTGAATAATGGAAAAATTACAATAATTTTATAATCTAAGACATATATATAGAAAATATATTCAAATATTAGTAGGAATGTAAATATATTTTACATTATTCTTGATTAAATGTTACTTATTTTAGTTCATTAAGAATCGCATTTTTATGTGATCATTTTGAAATGTAACATAATTACAGGTGACTAATGAAGATAAGTTGAATTTTAATAACTTTAATCTTTGCTGAAACCAAACGCTTGGTAAGATTTTACAAATACATGTTTTATTTTAACTATTATTGGAGATTATGCAATGAAATTGTTACGAGTGTTCACCGGAAATCTTGTGCATGTTTTCTGCCGAGAAAGTTCCATGATTAAAAAGTCGAGACGAAATTGCATACGTGCGGGAATAGACTGATAAGGAGTGACAGCCGAGAGTGCAATATCTACGCGAAACATCTCTTGATGTTGCACTAATAAACAACGTATTCATTGTAATAAGAAAGATGGTACGTTATCGCAATGTGTCTCTTAGGATTTCGTTGTAGAAGGCCGATAGTGTCAGTATATGATCCTGGATAGCACTCGCAATTTTAATATCATTTTTGCACATTTTTACACACAAACATTATAATTGTAGCATATTTTGATATGACGAGTTTTTGTTAAGATTCCTCACATACCATTATCGAAGAAAGGAGAAAATGTTAATAGTCGATGCATATTAATCTCTAGTTTTTCGCAAGTACATTTGTCGTGGATAATCATGCGGAAATGCGCTAGTAGCTTTAGATGAGTTTTGTAATTATCGCGAAGAAGTAGCGCTTTATTTCTTCTGCACACACGGCGAATGCGATCACTCGAGCGTAACGTCTAAGTTCCTATTATAATTGGAATCTCATTTTTATATGTTATCATGATAAAATGATAAAAAGGGAAATAAATACACTCGGCAATCGTTTAATTTGCTGATACCGTTATCAGATCCCGTGCCAAGTGATGCACTAAAGATATATCATATGGAGTTTTATTACCGGTAACGCTATGCACGTTAATGGTCTTTAGGAATCTTTAATGAATCACTTGCGCTCCGTTGGCAATCGCTTGGCTCTTTAAATATATTTGCAGCAATGATTCGAAATCTTTTCTATATTGTATCTTTCATTCTCGCAAAGAAATGAGAATCGAAGATCAATATGACTAGATCGATTGTAGCAGAATATTTTAACGGAATCGTGGACTTTTGTTAATGCATTCTCGGAGTACAGTAAAGTTGTATAAAAAATTGCGCATTTTCTTATAAATTCCTTAAGGAATTTAAAGTAAATTTTTACTTTTTGGTAAAAATAGAATTGTACAATTAAATGTCAAGTAGTTATACATACTATTTCCAAAAGTTTGCTGATTTAAATGAGAAATTGTGCACTTACACATTAATTTATTCCAAACACTATCTTCGAATTCCTCAGAGAATCCATTATTCAAGAAATATACGCAATTGATGAAAAATCTTGTATGCGTTTTAGTCGATAAATGACGAACAACGCAAGTTATGTTGTGAGTTATCTGAGAGAATGTTAAATTTCTCTCGTACACATACATACATATAAATATATATATATATATATATAAGTATAAATTAATAGTATGTATAAAAGAATTTTGGTAAAGTTTTGTTTGCGCTAATTTTTCGTTTGGTGAAAGATTTAAAAATTGTGCTGGAACATTTTGAAATGGACATAATCTCACTAATATTCAGTTTAAAAGAGTTAATATTGTAAAATAATACTTCCACAGAAAACTGTGCTAAATATTTATTTAGCAATCATCTTTTTTTGTGATTGCGCCTCGCAATCGTTTTGCGATTTATTGATATTTATGCATTTATCATTAAGATATGAGCACATTCTCAGAGTGATTTAAGGAAACTAATGAGATTAAGTATGGTAAAGTGTAAGGAAAGATTATTCGTCGTTACGTTCTCTGAAAATATTTTTTCTTATTCGTAAGGCGAGCACGCATTTACGGCAGAAGCTTTTTGAGGGTGAAAGTTCTGGAAACATATTAAAAAATTTCGTCATATGAATTTTTATATTGGCGATATTGACTAAACATATCTGTCAAGAAATTCTATCGTACTCGAAGCTCTCTTCTTTCGCTGTAAATAACGCTAGTACGATATACAGTTTTCTTGTACAAACGACAGTGTATGTCAACAACTTACGAAACAGTGAACAGTACGATGATTCACCCTTCATTGATACGACAATTTAAACATTCAAGCTTGAAACGAAATCTTTACACACTGTCGAGTTGCAGCCATTTTTTTCTGCGACTCATATTTTTCGAAATAATTTTGCTACTGAAACATTTTTTTTTCTAATTTACAATGTATAACGAAATTATATCGACGAAGTGCTATGATCTCACAAAGAAGTTGCACGTTCCCGATATTATTTGGGTAATTAATAATTCTGTGATAATAAGCACAAAGCGATGTTGCTATATTCCATTTTACAAATTAGGTTTTCCTTATTTCTTAAATAAATTTGAATACTATTATACGCCACTTTAAATTATGTATGCACTCTATTCGTATTTAAGCATGCCAAAAATTTTAGTTGTATATTATCACAGAATGCATTTCCTCTGTTCTTATATTTAGACCGAATAGTGAATTTTTATAGTTATGAATTATTAAAGTTAAGAATTATATTATTAATGAAATAAATAGCAGTAAGTCTCTCTCTCTCTCCCTCTCTCTCTCTCTCTCTCTCTCTCTCTCTCTCTCTCTCTCTCTCTCTCTCTCTCCCCCCCCCCCCTCTCTCTCTCTCACACACACACACACACTCTCACATACACACACACACTCACTCACTTTAGTTTAGTAGTTTTATAAATTTTATAATTTATTCCTAATCCTTAATCTGATCTTTTATCAATAGATATCTTGTTGAATATATTATAGTTTACGCCACATTACAAGTCGTCCCTTTATTTACGCGGAGCATCAGTTCCAAGTGGTTTTTTTTTTACACGGTTGAGGCGTAAATTGAATCTATTCTATTTTAGTAAAAAAAAATATGCTAAAGGAAATCTTGTATATGTTGTAAAAATATTTATTTTACATATTTGTACAAAAGTAATAATAAGTTGAGGAAAATTAATTTAAATTTGATTCGCTGTCAGTACTGTACTCCAAAGTGAACTTTTTCGCTTTAGAAAAATTGCTAAACGACGCTAACTGGCAAATTCTAATTAAAGAAATTTATTGCGAAAAATATTACCTCAGCCAGGGTTTGAACCTGAACTTCCCGACACTCTAGGCGAGACGCCCGCCTAGAGTGTAGGGAAGTCCAGGTTCAAACCCTGGCTGAGGTAATATTTTTCGCAATAAATTTCTTTAATTAGAATTTTCCAGTTAGCGTCGTTTAACAATTTTTCTACATTGATTAATCATGTACTGGCGTCAAATAATTCTTTACGTTTTTCGTTTTAATTGGTTCGAAGTTACTATTCTTATCACTAGAAATTATGACTCTTCTACCTCAATTTAATTGTCATCTTGTTTCTTTTAACGATATATCTCTGACCATATAATCACCAAAAATTACCGCGTGCATAGATTTTCTGTCGCGTATAGCAAGTAAATCGAGGGACGAGTGATATTATTAATTACTTGCATTTCTTCGTGTGTGCGTACTTGCGACGAATTTCGAGATCCAACTTGAAAATTTTTCCGCAGTTTCGAAAGCAAACTTACGCCCAATGTTTCGAATATCTCTTTTCATCTCTGCCACAGTCTCGTGTAGTATAAATCAGAGTAAGAGCAATCGAGCTTCGAATCCAGCTGAAACCTGCAGCATTGCCGAAGGTAATTGAACTCTGTTGACCTTAATGTAAGGGAATAAACGAGCGCGATTAAATGGCTATCGTGTGACACAAACGAGAATTTTCATCGTCCTCTCGCGTAACCAAATTTAACAAGTCTCTTCCTTCAGCCGTGCTTAAGATTGGACAAAGACTCGAACACTCTATTCACGTTTCTACTGATTTTATGTCACTGTACGAAATAACTGTATTTTCCTACACATACATACACACGCGCATATAAACACACTTGGTCGAGCCATCATCATCCGCTGTAATTTCCGATGGGCATACGACTACTTTGTAATATAGTGTATATTTCTTGTGTAACAATCGGTTTAGGGCTGGTGCCCTATACTGTGATTAAACGTGTATTTCTGTGTATGTGATGACCTGTAACGGGTCACGATACTGATTTCGATCAGGACAAGAATGATTTCTATTTGTAACGAATGATTGTCAAATAAAAACTATCGTATACAACCAGCACACTCTTATTACATTAACAATTTACATCTATGTTTTAAGACTTGAAACAAATATAATTTTGATGGCTTCAAATATTTGTGTCAAGACAATGCACATGCAATAACTAACATGATATATTTTTTCTTACTTTATCTTGGAATTTTTTTTCAAAAGAAGGGTCTTTTCTGGACGGTTATCTATATATCTAGGTTGGAAAATTTACTCTTCGTGGGTTTTAACTTTACGATACGCAACATTTCACGATTGGACCTTTCAGGTGTACGTTCCTTTTGTTGTTCTGAAATGTATGACGATGAAAGTGAATGTAAATTCTTGAGAATAGTTGTCTTCAAATTTTACAAGATTTCCAATTTCAAAATTATTGAATGCAAATCATACGAAAATTAAACTTGATTAGGTTGATACATTTATAAAAGATCAGATCACATAAAAACACTTGATATCGTAACATTATCCTTTCTATTCTATCCTTTTTACGTCAAAAAGTTCGGTCGAACTGGACAGACGATTTCAAACGCTTATCCATATAGCACTTAGGCCCGGTTTTTTATTTTGGTTAATCTGGTTAGGTTAACCAGAGGTTAATCAACTCTCTATCTTTTTCTATACTATTATCTAAGAAGAGACAGGTAGTCGGCTAATCTCTGATTAACATTTAACCAGAAAATGAAAAACCGGGCCTTAATGTCACTGGATTAAACAGGCTGGTTTGCTTTTACGTTAAGTCTCGCTATCAATGACTGGGTGATTTGTTACTTTTTCAAGATTTTGATATTTAAATTGAGTTGCTTAAATGCATTTAGTGAATCCCACGCAGTAAAGTCTGAAACTTGAATCAGGGATCTTAACGATATCTGAGTCTTCTTTGCACAATCAGATACCTATCCTATGTGTGGATATATTTTTCATGTATTTGCTGCCTGGGATATTTCGTTTCCAACATTTGTCGTATTGTTTCGCATTCCGCAGTTTTTCCTCGTCCACAAATTGTTTATCAATTCAAAGACTTTATTAGCGCAAACCATATTATTAAACATATTTCTTAAATAACGTCTTTTAAGCATAAAAATTATGTATGTGGGTGTACTTGAAATTAAATAAAAGATAACTCTTATTAACGAGTGACTCTTTAATTCGAAATTGATTTATAATTTAAGGATCATCGTTACTTCAAGACTACAACAAACAGCATTTTAGTTTCTCTATAATCGAGAAAAGGTGTATCTTGTGCACGTAAGTCTCTTTCTCAACGTATTCGAATTTAAAAGCTATATTAAGACGCGCGACTAATGTAAGAAAATCAGAGAAAAAGTTTAAAGTCGATATTTGCTGACGTACTCCCCAAACCTTATCGTTCTTCTCAAACAAACCGTCCCTTCTCCCGTGTGTACGTTCAATCTCAAAAGTGTTTGAATTCTCTTTGACCTATTTCGTTATTTTGTCAAACCTTCCCCACGGGTCCCTCTTTTTCATCATTTTAATTCTCGTAGGAGCTACCGACGGACCGTCTGCACACAAGATGTAGGTTCATAAACGTCGACGTCGATGACCGGGAGCTGATGACTCGGTGGATAATAAGCTTCTTGACACTCCAGCGAGATCAGGGGTCTCGGCTCACAGCCGCTACAGATCTTCAATTTTACACATCACGACGTCACAATTCATTTAAGTCAATAACGCAGCGGCTCTCGAAGGCAATCGGTCACATCGATCTCGCGAATTCGCGTTGAGCCGCAAGCTGTGAGCCGTTCAGGTTCAATTGAAGAAAACTTTGCACACAGTCCCATCGGCGAATCCTTCGTCAGGTATCGAAATCCTGGGAACGTCCCTCTCGTCCTCGCGGCAGTCCTCGTAATCGACCTCGAACACTTTTATGCCGGACGTCTGACGATCCCCGACATTCTCCGGCTCGTCAGTTTCGAGGAGGGAAATGATCTCAGGATCGCCGTCCCAAATCTCGGCATTGATCACGCTGCGGCCGCGCGCTACGCGGTCTTGTCCCCTGGAGGTTGCCATCGGTAGCGCGGATCCGTCGACGCTTTGCAAAAATCGCCCCGGCATTCTGACGGCCAAAGTCTTTTCGTGGCCGTGCTTTCTTTCGATGCAGGCGTCCAGCATCCGGCGGAGCCTCTGCGCACTGTCCGGCTCGGTCGAATGCAACAGCGCTAACGCGTCCGAGAGACTCTCGTCGATTTCGGATCTACTCTCGTACATTCTTGCGAGGCTGGTAAAAGTCTTCGGATTCTGTTCGAGTGAAACGCCCCTCGGGCATCCGTAATTTGTCTTGGCGACACTTCTAAATGTTTGACAGGATTTTGCAATTTTATTAAACGGATGATTTCTCTGGACTATTTTGGACAAAATGCGAAGACCAAGACAACTAGTAGTATCGCTCGTGAAAAAAATTAATGTGTGACTTTTTATTTCAAAAAAGAAGTAACAAACTGGCTAACAACACAGCGCGTCCTTTTTAGACTTCTCGAGACATTCGGGCCGGATTTAATTTGGACGCGCAAATGGCCGAGGGTTAAAGAGCATAGGACGCATTTCGAATGTTTTGGATTTGACATTGTTCGCTCACGTACGAGACGCGACGATGCGAGGCCGGCGAAACGGCGTTCTTGACGAATTAAGGGCCGGCCATGCACGAAGGAGTGTAGCGGCAAGTGGTCCTGCGGACTGGTAACAATCCTGGGAATTGTACGGACAGGGACGTTCTACGGGATTTAGATATGCGAATAGTATCCCCGGGAACGGACGTTCGCCGTGAAATGTGCCGAAGGAAGGTGGCCGGCATTTATCGGGCTCGATCATCGACTCGCCGCCGCTTGTATATCGACGGAATCGCATCGACGACGCACCATTGTCCCCGTGGCTGTTTGCTAATAGAATCCAGCGCTTATGAGCGTCGTCCTCCGGCAGTCGGATACTGGACATTGAATATTCAACAAACGCATTTCAACGTTACCGGGCCAGCGACGTGAACGCGTCACGGACAACGCCGGTCCATTGCGACGACTCGGAGAACGTTTGTCCGTGGTATCACGTTATTTTCGCGTTACGGGATAATTCTGCCCACCGCGCGTCTTATAAGTAGTAATTACCAGGGTTGAGAGTAACTCGTTACCTGTAACGAAGTTACAGTTACTTTTTTTTTTGGTAACTCTAACTTAACTTCGTTACTTTCTCTCCATCTGTAACTGTAGCTCAGCTCAGTTACATTAATAGTTACTTTATGTATTTTTTAAACCTCCACAAGTTGCATTAGGCCTTGCATTTGCGCACGAGCGCCTTTATTAACGCTTTACAAGTCAAATGCAGATTTAATATTTTCATTCTTATTGCAAGAAGGTAACTGCAAAGTAACGATTCCGTTACCCTTTGAATAACTGTAACTGTAACGCGTTACTTTTCAGAATTGGCAACTTGTAACTGTAACTAGTTACATTTTTAGCGAAAAATCTGTAACTGTAACTAGATCAGCTAGATACTTTTATAAAGTACCTTTCCCAACCCTGGTATAATTACAGATGTACAAGATGCAGATGACAAGAATAGCTTCTGCGTAATAATGAACGATTCAACCTCCTTCATTGCACGACAATTTTTCTAGCATCCCGTATTCGTGAATTCCAATGGAACGCGGGTCGTTCCGTCAACGTCGGCTCTCCTTGTACCGTCTCGTAGCCGCGCGGCGCGCTTTTTCAAGGTTTCTGTCAACGAGCCCGCGCGAGCGTTTCTTCGTCGCGCTTTTTCGGAAACGGCACGGACGGCTGGGGCGCGGGGTGGGCGAGCGGAAAAGCATCCAATTATCATGCCCGATGCCGGGGCTTCTCACCCTGCACAAGCTCGGTACCAGAATCGACTGGAATCCGGCCGGGAAGCCGGGCCCGGTAGACGTCGAACGAGTGGGATTATTCCGCGTCCGGGCTCGGGGCCGGGGGGCCGTGCGGGGGCGGGCCGAGGGAACAATGTCGGAAACGACGGGGACGGTATGCCGAGATATGCAGGATATCGCGCAGAACTGCGATCCTTCGAGGTCTGTGCGAGGAGAGCGAGAGAGCTATGAGGATACAGCAGTGGCGCAAGTATAGTGAGCCAGATATGTACGCCCCGCGGCGCCGGGAGAGAGAGAGAGGAGAGAGAGAGAGAGAGAGAGACAGAGAATACGTCTCTAAGTGTATTACCTCTCCGAGGTGAAAAGAGAGAGAGAGAGAGAGGGAGAACAAGAGAGCCGCGTACCGCCTAAATATGTAATAATATCTACGGGAGATACCGGCATTCCCCGACCTCGAGAAGAATTCGATCAAAATGTGTCGCGATACTCTCCCGGTATGCCAGGTGAGGTACGCGTTCACCTCCCTTCTCCCTCCGCCCTCCACCCCTTCGCCTGGCTTCCTGCCGCCCCCTTTCACACCCGCCCCTGCCCGCCGCTGCGTTTCCTCCGCGTTTCTTCTCCCGTCGTTGCTTTGTCCTCGTTTGCACACGATCGGATACAATAAGAGTGGACGCGGACGTTCTCGCCGAAGGCTGCCACGTTTCACCCTCGCGTGCGCGAAATCTCGGATCGGAGGGATAAAGAAGTGAAATATCAGGGACTCCACCGCGATTCTTTTCACCTACGACTTTTCCTTGTCAAACGGACCCGACGCTTCTCCAGCGAGAAAATTTGCAATTACTTTTCCTCGCCGTTCCTCGGCCTTTGGAATCCATTTTCAAATCGTCCCGTGCTCTTCGGCAACGACATTTCAACAATGTCAAAATCTGATAAAATAATGGTTATGGCGTAGTCACATAATTGCCCGAAAACCTTTAGAATTGCTGAAAAACTTGTAGATTGAAAATTACATAATGGACCTTATATTTCTCTCGTCTCTTCTCCTACTCTCGTCAATTACATATAAATCGCAAATTAAATTTACAAAGAACTAGCAAGGAGGCGAGAGAGAGAGAGAATCGCGGCGTATGATAAAAGTTGGTAGGAAATAAGGAAACGAATAATTTAGAGTCGCTTACCGCGAGGCGATTCCATCTGAAGGAGAAAATCCTCATATTGCGGGAGCAGCGTCTCTGCTTTTAGGTGCAGCAGGAATTTCCGAATGCGCCATTCGCGTGATATTTTAATACTTTATACCTCACCGTCCTTGCGAGTAAATCTCTGCCATGATAAGACCCGTCAGGAATTTCACCCCCGCGGAACATCCGCCGTTTATAAGAAATGTTTTCGAAGTTTATGAGGGCGACGCGAAGTCCTGGTATGGGGCGGATCTAAAGCCTTCGCCCTTCTTCCTTTTCTCTCTCCTCCCTTTTTTTTATTTCCCTTTTTAAATAAAAGCAACGCCGATAGAGGAAAAGCGCCGTGTCGCAAAACTGACAATAAAATGACGTCGTCTTTGGAATATCGTCGAAAAATGCGATGAAAAATTTTCCTTCAAAAATTTGCACTAACAGAGCACCGGTGTGCGTCATAACTTTGCGCGTCGTTAAATTCGCATTTAATTTTCGGAGCGATTTTCCAATCGAATATTTTGCAGAAGCCCCGGGCGCGCTCGCGAATAATTATAATAATTTGTATCGCGCGTCATTTGCATTTCGCTAAACAGTTTTTAGTGGCTTCCGCGCGTGATATGCCGTCGCTCATATTTTACGTTCTTGGCGATAATTTCTTTTCTAAAAGACAAATCGCCCCATTTCCTTGCGTAACGATCAAAAATTGGTAGACCTTGAACCTTCTGCGTAAGACGAACGGTGCGAAATGTGTAGTTTGTGAATGTAACAGTTGCGACGTCGACGTACCTTCCGTAACTTTGCGAAACAAGAGCATCGTGCACGCTTATGATCTTGACTACAATTCTACGGCTACAATCCCGAGTTGCTCCGGCTAACGCGATGTCCAATTCGAGCATTGTGACGTCATGGATTTAGACGCGGGCTGGAATTAACTGTCTTCCATATCGGAGATGCAACTCCGAACAATACACGGTGCGGTAGGTGCATCTCGCGCGAGGTGATACCACGTCGATGCGACGGTTCCCTCGAATTACGTTCTTTTACGCCACAGAAACGCTGCGACAGAAGCAGCCTCCTTTTAATTTGTAAATTGCTCGAGTCACGCAAGTAGATTAAACCCTCATTCAAAGATATTTTCTAAGGGGCACAGAAAATTCAATAAAATTAATTTCAGTGAGTTCAAAATTCCAAACCTGAAGACCCGTTTCGAAATCTCTGGGTCTCCCTCTGTCCCCGTTCGTTTCTAACGTGCGAAAAAGGAAGCTGGCGAAATTACTCGGCGACCGTAACATCGGACGTGAAAACAGAAAGAGACCGCTTGTCCGCGTTTTATTTCGAATTACTGCCGTCGGGGATTAAAATTGGATAGGGTAGAGAAGGGGGGAGTCGCGACGGATGTAAAAGCCGAGGGAAGATTACGAATTCATAACTTTGCAAAATGAATTCCTATCGATCCCTTTTTAATTCATCTCGCACGGACGCGCCTACATCGGGCCCGCGCGAATCGTGTGCGACGTCGACTCGACGACGCTGCAGATTTCTTGCAGGAGTCAGGTGCGGAGCGTCGGACGCCGATGCGGTGCGTGTCGATGAACCATGGCCGCCCATCCTACCGAGTAAAGTCAGCAGACGCGGCCGAATGCAAAGTGCATCGTTGCATAATGCGGAATCACGCGTGCGATGCTTCCTTCGCGACACGCGGAGCGATAGCTAGCGGAAACAAAAAAAGAATACATACACCCATAAAGCGCGCGCGTATCCCTTTCTTTCTCCCTAGGGCTGCGTTCGGAAACGTCAGCCGAATGCACCCGCGTATCATTTCATCCCCGTTTAACATTCGGTCATAGTACACGCACCGGCATAAATGCTGTCCCTATCCTTGTGAGATGCACGCACACAACTACAGGGACTCTAGTTGTACAACTAGCACGCCCACTCTCGGTCGGTCCTTTGATCTTTTCGGTTTCGATCACGTGGTATTCCGCCATGGTTTTTGCTATAAAATCCTGTCACACTGTCACACTGAGTTCGCACCACCGCGTGTACAACATCCGTCTCATTGGCCGCGCGTTCAGCAGAAAAAGCTGCTCTGCATCTGCTGTAAAATTCGTGAATCTGATTGGCGTGCTCTCTTGATCTTGAGCGAATTTCAGAGCGTACGCCGATCAGATTCACGAATTTTACAACAGTTGCGATAGCAGCCTTTTCTGCCGAACGCCGCCATTGGCCCCACCAAAATGATGGCGGACGCGCAGAAAGGATCGACGCGAAACAAAACAAATGACAGAGTGGGCATACCAGTTTATACTATGATTCGGTGAGCGATAAAGAGAAACGATTACACTCGAGCACTCGGGTGACGCTTCCGTTGCCTCGCGCTCGCGCGGCAGCGCTCCGGCAGTTGTTCCGCGAGGGTAATTGCCGATCCCGCGACGAAAAGGACAGCTTTCCCCCCTTTTGTCCATCGCCGCGCCGGCGTTATTTCCACGCTTTTCAATTAGTTATCTTCGGCATCGGCGGAACGGCGCGCTGCAGTTTTATGACTTTTACGGCTATCGACGTTAAATAGAATTCGCGGCATACCGGCCGCGTCGTGCGTTATACGCTGCCCGGGTCGAAATAGCTCGAATAAGCGGTAGGGCATAAAGAGCGGGATAATTGTCAATTTCATCGCGAACGAGACTCCGCATGCCGCGCATTAAAATAAGATAAGCTCGCCCCGCTTCATTCTCTCCCTCGGCCGTTTTCCTTTTTCCCAGCCCATTAAAGCCCTCCCTCCCTCCTACCTCCCGAGGGGGCTCCGTTAGAAAAGTACGCTAGCCGGCGCGGCACGGGTACAGCGGCTTCGGGGGATTACGTCTTTGGCGGAATTTCTATTATTATCTCATTGTGTGTGCCGCGTGAGCGGGCGCGACGGGGTAAGCGCGATGATAACGCGCTGGTGCGTATTCCGATATCCAGAGGTAAGTGTGGCCCTACTCACGGTTAGCTCTCCCGCTAATCCGAAGGGAAGACTGATCCGCGCGATCTCGATCACCGCGGACACCCGCGCGTTTACACAACAGACAATTCCGACTGTGATAGAAAAAAATGTAGTACTTGAAACTATAATTGCATAGTAAAATAATTATAGTCGGGAGTATCATTTTTATAGTAATTATTACTATAATATTAGTAATTGCAACCATAGAGACACAGTGATGCCAACTATTAAAAAAATTCACTATAAAATATAAGCTTTCAACTATTATCTGTTAAAATATCCAGGCAATGAATAGTAAATTAGCTCACTATAATTAACTATAAATTCAATATAAAATATAGGATTATAGTTACTCTAATCTTTTTTTTTCCTATCAGTGCGTAGTGAAGACAGACGCAGGTCCGACGAGGTCTTGACGTCAAAGTTAACCGGGCAATTTCTTCGGAAAGGTACGGCGTTACGAAGGATGGCGAGCGAAAGAGCAGTCGGGCAGCCGGAAGTCGGGCGTTGACGCAATTAGGCGATTAAAAGGACGCGCTAGGCGACATATCGAGGTTCGTCGTTTCCATTCGACGTGCGCGTCACATGCGACGCGAATGAAAATCTCCCGTTTCAAGCCTGACGGCGTGGCACGGGGCAACGGGCGTATCGCGTCGCGTCGCGTCGCGTCGCGCTTTACCACATTGCGCTGCCGCTCGGACCTGTTTGTAAACTTTTGTGCGGCACAATGCATCCGAACTGACAAAAGGAGCTCATTGCGCGGCAAACGTTTAAAGGCATTAATTACGGCCGGGCTTTGTGCCAGTCGCAAAAGTTAACAGCTCCGGGCATTATTTTCGTACGCGCGCCGAGTTTCGGTTTGCGAGAGCGCGCGCTGTTTGACGTCGTCGTTATTAATCCGCGTTTTCCTTTTTGAGATACCGCGTTATTGTCGCGCAGCGTTTTTGCGAAATGGCCTCCCTCCGCGTCACTTTTCTATTATATATCGCGTGGATATTGGCAACGGGGCCTGCAAAACAGAAAAAGCTTTTGCAGGAATTAAAAATGGAGGGACTCGTGAAAGAATAAATATATAAGTGTAAAACGCGCGCCGTAATCGCGGGATGCAAATTGAATTATATAATACATGATGGGGGGTGGTGACGATGGGTGAATTCGAAATAATTTTCAACACCGCAAGCTAAACAGGGAGAACGGAGTACGCGCTTGAAACTAAACGCGTCCGGGCACGCGAGGGAAAATACACTCGCAGAAACGGGGCGGAAATCACCCCGCGTCATTTCCAACTCGTCCGAATGGTGCGTTCTATTCGACTAGGGCAGTAGGGCCGTCGCCGTCGCTCGAAGGGACTAGAACGCGCGGAAGATGCGTTAATTGGCGAGCCTCCTCTTCGGGCCCGGCGATACTACATCCTCATTTATTAGCGCATTTATTTTCAAAGCCTAAAATGCGAGCCCTGAAATTCAACAAGTGCCCCTCGAACCTGAAGCGAGCGAGGGAGATAGAGAGAGAGGGAGAGAGAGAGAAAGCGAGCGGACGTGCGAGCGCGCCCAACCAACAACCAGCCTCTATTACGAGCGTGACGCGACTGATCCCGCCGCGGGCGGCGGGAGGGCGGGGAACGGGCGGTGGGGGGCGCGGGCAGGACGCGCGCGAGAGCGGTGGGGCGCTCGGGTGGGCTCGGGCGGCGTCGGGCGCCTACGCGATTCTGGTTTCTCCCGCGGCCGCCTAAGCGGTGCCAGCGTGTGCGCAGACCGGCTGCGCAGCAGGCGTGTGCGTTGTCCAGATTCTTTGTGCCATTCCTGGCATACCAAAAACACGAGAGTGACCGTCCTCGTATTTACCCGTGGTGCAGTACCGCGCGTCGATATACACTCCGTGCGAATTTCGCCGTGGGAAAATCAGGGCCGCCCTCGCGCTCCCGCGCGCGTGCCGCCACGTCACGTAGCTCAGCCAAGTGGTAAGTAACTGAGGACAGAGAAAATTACCGGAGTGCCTGTACGAGCGCCCGTCGCGAGCCGCGAGCGAGCGAGCGCGTCCACGCCCGTGCCGTGGACGTCCTGACGGTGGCGTCGTCTCTCGCTCGCGGCTCGCGACGGGCCCGCGCGCGCGAGGAACAACGAGTCCGATCGCAGCGACGACGGCGATATTACCCGCGGAGGGAGAGAGAGAGAGCGAGAAATCACTGACGGAACGAACGAACGAACGACTGACGGATGGACGAGAGAGAGAGAGAGAGAGAGAGCGAGATGTGCCGTATGCGCGCGTGAAAAAGAGAGAGAGAGAGATCGACGTAGTATTTCGCGTGCGAGTATGAACCTGACCGGAGCGACGCCGTTACTACCCGTCCCGCGCGACCGGTGCTCTCGCGCGTGGCTCCGATCGCGGCGTTCTCAAAATTACTCCGAGCCGAGACGGAGCGAGCGTGCGAGAGAGAGAGAGGGGGGGGGGGGTGAGGGGGCGCGCAGGTGAAAAGAGAAAAAGCGCCTCGCCGCGCCGGTCGCGACGGCACGCAGTTGATGAAACGAGATAGAAATCGAAGCGGCGTGTTTACTTGAGAGAGGGCTGTTTACATCGCGTACTCCGCGGGCGTAAGTAAGTTGTTTATACGAGCGCGCGCCGTCCGCGTCAGCTGTGCGGCCGTGCCGAGTCGATTTGCAGCGTCGCGACGCGGCTCACCTCACCGTCGAGGTTAGGGCGACTCTCCTCTCGCGGTCGTCGCTCGACGGCGCGGTACGTGCCGGTGGTGTGGGCTGCGTGCGCGTTTCCTCGCTGCCGGCGCGCGAGCGGGGGCGCCGCAACAGAAACGCGTGCCGCCGCGCTGCTGCCTCTCCGCCTAGTCGCCTGTCCGCCAGCTCGCTCGTCCGCTCGCCCGCTCCGCTCGCTCGCTCGTTCGTTCGCTCGCTCGCCCGCTTCTGGTGAATTCGTATGGTGAATTATTGATCCGCGGCGGCGTGTGCGTGCGGAAAAACCGCCGTTGGCTGGAAGAGAGGCTGGAAGGTAGGGGGTAGGGGGCAGGAAGGGAGAGACAGAGAGAGAGAGAGAAAGAGGCAGGCGGGCGGCTGAGGGTGGGAAGGGGGGAGAGACGGAGTGGCGCACGGCGGTGGCGCGAGAAAGCGCTTAAAGCGAGCACACGTACGGGGTGAGACGTGCGCTGGTTGGTGTGTTGCTTGTATATTGTTTTGAAAAGTGTCGCAGCGCGCGCGGACGCACGCGACGTATCGCATCGCATCGCGCGCCGCATCGCATCGGGCCGCATCGCATCGCATCGGCATCGCGTCGCGTCGCGTCGCGTCGCATCGCGTTACGGTGCTCCGCTCCGCTCGACGAGGTAGAGGAGCGAGCCAGGCTGTTAAACATCCTTGGTGTCTCCTCGCGCTCTCTGCGTTCCGCTCGCGCTGTTCCGCCGCGCTCCGTCCGCGCGTGCGGTGCGTGTGTGCGTGCCGTGCCGTGCCGTGCCGTGTGCCTTGCCGTGCCGTGCCGTGCCGTGACGTGTCGTGCCGTGCCGTGCCGTGCCGTGCATGCGTAGCTCGAGCGGGGACGCGAACGCGGGAAAAGCGCGGCGCCGCGCGGGCTAATGCACGCGACGGACGTCGTCGGGGCGCGACGCGCGACGAGGAAGCTGCCGTCGGGGGGCCCGGTGAGTGTCCCGGAGTGAGAAACCCGAGGAGCCGTTCCTCATCGTACTTGAGTTACCGGCGTCGCGGCGTGAAATCGCGCGGGGCGACGTGCGATCCCGTCGGTCCGCGGGGGTGAGTGCCGGTGGTGCCTCGTCGTCGTCGGAGCGCGCCGACGGCGACGACGACGACAAGACGTCGGGGACGACGAGCAAGTGGAGAAGGAGGAGACTCGGGGGGGTAGCCTGTCGTTTTGTCTCCGGTCTCACGAGCGCGCTCCGATAATCCCGGAGGAAGGCAACGTCCTATCTTCGCCACCGCGGGGCTTGGATGGATACTGTGCATTATTTCTGGAGTGAGTTTCCCCCCCCCCCCCTCTTCTAATTCCCCGCGTGTCCCCGCTCGAGAGCGATAGAGCGGGACACCTTTTTCGCCTTCTGTTACACGTCGCTCGCCAACAGCTGCGCGCGCGCGCGCGCGATCGTCACGTCCATTGTTTACGCGTGTCTCTGCCGAGCGATAGGCGCGCACCTGACCGCGCGGTTAGAAACGGAGGAGTTCTAGGAGTCCTTTAAATTTACCCTCAGAGGCAACAGGCGTTTTGTCGAGAAGTGGAATTGGAATTTGTTAAATCCCACTTGCGCGCACTACCTTTTCTCGCTCTTCTCCTTCCCAATGCGTACCGATCTTAAGATACGACGACAGCTGGCACGATTATAATATCGAGTGTGACGAATCGCAAAGTTGTTCGGGCGCAGCTCGCGCAGATGTCGAGGATAATAGAAAAACCGCACGTCGGCCGCTCGCGAAAGCGAGAGCCGCGGGAAACCACGCGCGGATCCGCGCGTTCCTCTCGGTCCAGTTTGACTCCTGGCTTAATTCCGCGGCGACGGCGAGCGGCAATTAATTCGCGGACGGAATCGCCAGACGAACGACGAATCTCGGCGCAATCTCCTCCGCCGGAGCGTGACCGGCGGCTAACGAACGCGAAAGGAAAAACGTCGGGCGACAGTCGGCACGCGGACGTTGGCGATGCTATCTCGTGGGTTTATCGAAAATAATTCCGCGCCAACGCGCGGGCACTGTGCATCGTTACATAAATTTATAATCCGATAACTCGGCGTCTCGCGCTATCGCGACGGCCCGCGGCCGGGAAAATCGCGGACGCCGCCGCAGTTTAACGAGCTGCCGATGCTCGCTTATTCAAATACCACCTGGCACGCGGATACCACTTGTTACTAGCTTGCAGACGCCGCGATACGCCGCGATATCGCCGCTGATAATCCGGAAATTTACCGTGACGATTACAAGTAGTGTGTACGTAATTTATATCTAACTAATTGTCGCGCTACACTCGACGTTTCGGCCATTATCTCGGTGGCATATCTTAACGCGCTCGCCGTTCGTACTTTCTACCCGATAACGTTTTTCGCGCCTCGACACGCAGATACCGTTTCGAAGGAAAACCTGAGAGATATTGAATGCACGCCCGACCGTAGAGAAAAGACGAAGGGAAGAAAAGAGCGTGTCGAGTTGGAGAGTAGGACGCATCGCGGCGTTTCCTGATTAAAGCGCCGAACTCGAGTTTTTCTTGAAACCGCGCAACGAAATTTCCCTCTCGGAGTCGCCTGCGTCGCGGGGCTTTACTTTCGCGCCCCGCCAAAGTTTGATTGCGAGCTCGTAATCAAGAGAAAATTTCCCCTTTGACCCTTTGGCGTGCCCGGGGATGCGAGTTAACGTTCTTACATCTTTGCCCACCTGCGCGAATGAGCCGTGCGTCACATTTAATTTCGCCCGTCCACGGCCGTCATCCGACGCGGGCCGGCGACGATGAATAATGAAACTTAAGATTATTGATACCCGCGCTCGATACGATATTATCCGCGCGATCTATAAATATCGCGTGTCCTTTGTTTACTGTTGGAAGATAAGCGTCGGACTTGTGCGCGACACGCATTCGTCGTCGTCGTCGTCGTCGGACGCGGCCCGCGTGCGATAAGAATCCGCGTTTCGTCAACTGGCAATTTCCTTTTTCGATAGACGCGGTTTGCACGATTACGATTTCGAGCCGATGACGCAGTCGCGCGAAAGTACAATAATGATGTAATACTCGCAGCGCGGCCGTTTCGGACGCGCGCGTTTCAAGATCGCACCAGATTGCGACAATTACGCGATCCTCGATTCTGTCGCTCGATAGAAAAGGGCGGTTGCGTGTAGGTCGAAGGGACCGAGGTGCACGCTGCCTTGGCCACCGCGTACAGGCGCCGATCGCGCGTGTCCAAGCGCCGTCGATATTTATTATTTATTAACAATGACATCCAATTTTAACGACCTACACTGGCCGACGTTTTTATTTTACAAACGAAACGCGTTACAACGTTTCGGTCCCAGATTTGGACCCTTATCAAGTAATATGTTACAAGTTTGCCAAAGATCACACATTAATTGTTTGGCCAATGCCATTATGACAGTAGGATATTAGTCAAAAATAAAAAATATAAAAATTGCACTCCTTGGTTGGGGCATCCACAGAAAAAATTCCCGAATCTAATGCTATTACACTTGAATGTATCATAAAATAGGATCGATACAGCGTCATTCATATTTATTATAGCGAAAGGAATACCTGTTTTAATCTTAAATAAAAAATTCTAAAATCTAGAACAAAATAACAGTATGTATCGTCTTTTGTCAAATATCGCGCGTTGTAAGATGGAGGGAAAATTAATTTTCTAAACGCAAGAATACATAAACTTGCCTAAGTTATTCTTGTCTTAATATAGCAAGTCAATCTTTCTTAATTCGATAGAGGAGAGTAAGAATTATTTTTTTATTTTGATATTGTCTTACTTTTATACTAAATGACGTTGCGAGAAATATAAATGCGTCAAGAATATTTTTGTCTCGGTAACAGAAATTCTTTCTGAGGGTGGCAGTGCAAAGTCCATTGAAATTGCATCGTTATTCATTATCTGTAATCTGTTACAAGATTGTTAAAGATCGCACGTTCATTATTTGGCCAATACCATTACGACAGTAGGATGTTAGTAAAAAATAAAATATATAACAATTGCACTCTTTGGTTGGGGAGTGCAAAGTCCGTGGAAATAGCATCGTCGTTCATTAAATATGCACGAGAGTAACGAGAGACCTGTGTCGGACGGGGAGATCCAGTTGAACTGATATTAAAGACTACCTTGTGATTTATTTATTAACGCTCGTTACCTCTGATAGCTTTCACATCGCATCGCGCTTCCTCGCACCGGCGCGTGCAAAATCGGTTACGGAAATTTCGTCAGAATAAGAAGAAGAAGCTGCCGCCGCAAGAGTTACATCGAGCCGCGCAACATTTTAATATCCGCCTCGCCGGCGTACGTCCCGCGCGTTTCTCCATTTTCCGCGAATATCGTCGGCCGCAGCCAATTGTACCAACATTTGCAATTCGCTTGCACTTTCTATAAACAGCGTCTCCGGTGCGCCGCGACGCGACGGTCCCGATCGCGGGTTACGTCTGTCCCACGTCGAGCGGGAAAATTACAAATTTCCATCACGGCGTGACAGAAATGTCCAACTTCCTCGGTGGAATGAAATTTTCGCGAGCTGCCCGCGCGTGCGCACGCGCAACTTGTTTTCTTCTTAAAGCCCCGCGCCGGAAATTACGACCCCGGAAGCGATCGAAGGAAACGAAAAAAAAAAAATTTCCCGCGGTTTGTGCTCAAATAACTTTTCACCGGCGAAAACCGTGCGGGGATTCGTGTAATATCGCGGCTGTCAAGATGGAAACTTTTATTCGTAGCATTATCGTAAATATATCGCTCCCGAGGGGATCTTTATTACGTTAGGAGACGTTAGAGACTATTAGCTGTCTTCGCGTTGTATTTACTCCGGTTTAATTCCGTTTGAATAGTCGTAGGTAACAGCGTCTGCATTTATCCTCTCATTCACCGCATTCGGGATTCAAGATGGCTGAGTACCGCTGACCTTTAATCGCTAGGGTCGATTCTCAAGTAACGCGGTTTAGTGGAAAGCCACTTGTGTAGCCGGCCGACAGGTGCAAGGTGTATTTCTCTCCGCTCCGTTCCGCTCCTCTCGCTCCGGCCGGACGCGACCGGTCGCGTCTCGTTTCTCTTTCTCGGCCGCCGCTGCACGCACGAGGGCGAGCGAGCCCGGAGAAACCGGTAGTCGCCGGTAATCGGTGTGTATTTCGATAGAATCGATATTCAAATCCGTCCAACGCCGCGACGACCACGGGCGAAATCGCGTCGTCGTCTCCTCCGAGTCCCGGCGTCTATCTTATCGCGCCGATGAGCGACGTCGGAAAACGGAGGACGACTCCGGAAACGCACGTTTTTGTCGCACCCTCGACGTTCTCTCGATCCCCCGGGAGTATCGGACGCACTTGCCACTGGTCATCGCGCCGCGTGCCCGAATGTTTTCTTCACGCCCGCCGAGAAAATTTACGGGTCCCCAATGCTGTTGCACTTGAATGTGTCATAAAATAGGATCGATATAGCTCCAAGCTATTTATTGTAGAGAAAGGAATATCGTAATCTTGAATTAAAATTTTTGAAATCTAGAATGAAATGATAGTGCGTGTCGTCTTTTGTGGTGCCAACTTCTCGTGCGTTGTAAGACGGAGGGAAGATTTATTCTAAACGCAACAATGTATTAAGTTACTCCTGTCTCAATATAGTAAGTCAATCTTTTTTCATTCGATAGAGGAGAATAGGAATTATCGATTTGATTTTGTCTTATTTTTTTAACTAAACGAGGCTGTGAGAAATATGAATGCGTCAAGAATATATGTTTTGTCTCGGTAACAGAAATCCTTTCTGAGGGTGCACCTTTCAATTGATACAACGCGAGGAGGTGTATTATCTCGCGCGAGACAGCTCACGTATCATCCGATTACGCGCGGGACATTTTTATCGTAATTAGCTTGCCGTTATCGTAAGCGATAACGACATTTATCGGTAATTGAAGTTTGATAAACGTCGGCGGAGCAACGGCGATCGCCGCGCGTCCGCGCTCGCGACGGATTTCAACGGGCGATTGCGAGCAGGAGGATACGTAATGCCGGATTATTTTGAGCCGCTACCCCTTTGGCGAGACGATCGACTCTCCCGCTACCCGCGGGAGCTCTTTGATCCGCGATACAGCGGCCTTGAACGCAACCTGAGCCGCGCATTGTTAAATGAATGGATTGTTTGTACGCGCTGGAGATTTTTCGCTCGAGGCTACAACTCGCCTTTACTCTCGCCTCTTCGGTCCCTTGTTTCGTCTCGTTCGCAGTGCACGGGATGCTCCATTATTATTGGAAATTAAATATAGAAAGCGGTGTACGACGATTGGAGT